AAAAAAATCCCCAAAACCCCCGAAAATCGGGAACCCGAAAAAAACCCAAAACCCAAAAAAAAATCCCTAAAAAATTGAAAAAAAAACCTGTTCAGATTGCCCTAAAAACCCCCAAAATGAGGGGATTGATCCCTCCCACAGCTCTACGGACAGTGCCAGCAGGTCTGGGGAACCCGAAAAATCCCAAAAACCCGAAAAAACCCAAAAAAACCCCGTCCGAAAACACCCAGGGGTCACTGAAATCTGGGAACCCAAAAAAAACCCCAAAATCCACAGAAAAGATGCAGGGCATTGATCCCTCCCACACCTCTCTCTACAGGCAGTGCCAGCAGGTCTGGGACTCCAAAAAAACCCCAAAAAACCCCGAAAAAACCCAAAAATCAGAAACCCAAAAAAACCCCAAAAACCCTAAAAAATCCCCAAAAAAATCCCCCAAAAACTCCGTTCGGCTTGCCCTAAAAACCCCCAAAATCTGGGAACCCCAAAAACGCCGTTGGGATACACCCAGAGACCCCAAAAAGGGATTTGGAACCCCCTAAAAAGGGTCAGGAATCCCCTAAAAAGGATCAGAGACCTCAAAAAGGGATTTGGGATCCCCCAAAAGGGGTTTTGGGATCCCTGAAGAGATTTTGGATCCTCAAAAAGGGGATTTGGGACCCCTAAAAAGAAATTTGGGACCCCCAAAATGGGGTCAGAGACTCCGAAAAGAGGATTTGGGACCCCAAAAAGGGGATTTTGACCCCAAAAAGGGATTTGGGATCCCCCGAAAGGGGATTTGGACCCCAAAAGGGGATTTTTGACCCCAAAAAGGGGATTTTTTACCCAAAAGGGGATTTTTGACCCCAAAAGGGGATTTTTTACCCCAAAAGGGGATTTTTTACCCCAAAAAGGGGATTTTTGACCCCAAAAGGGGATTTTTGACCCCAAAAAGGGGATTTTTGACCCCAAAAAGAGGATTTTTTACCCCAAAAGGGGATTTTTGACTCCCCCAAAAGGGTATTTTGACCCCAAAAGGGGATTTTGGACCCCAAAAAGGGGATTTGGGACCCCAAAAAGGGGATTTTTTACCCCTAAAGGGGATTTTTGACCCCAAAAGGGGATTTTTTACCCCAAAAGGGGGATTTGGGATCCCCAAAAGGGGATTTTGGACCCCAAAAAGGGGATTTTTGACCCCAAAAGGGGATTTTTTACCCCAAAAGGGGATTTGTGATCCCAAAAAGGGGATTTTTTTACCCCAAAAGGGGATTTTTTACCCCCAAAAGGGGTTTTGGGATCCCCTAAAGAGATTTGGGATCCTCAAAAAGGGGATTTTTGACCCCAAAAGGGATTTTGACCCCAAAAGAGGATTTTGGGATCCCCAAAAGGGGATTTTTGACCCCAGAGGGGATTTTGGACCCCAAAAGGGGATTTTGGACCCCAAAAAGGGGATTTGTGATCCCCAAAAGGGGATTCTTTACCCCAAAAGGGGATTTTGGACCCCAAAAGGGGATTTTGACCCCAAAAAGGGGATTTTGGACCCCAAAAGGGGATTTTTGACCCCAAAAAGGGGATTTTGACCCCAAAAGGGGATTTTT